AATGCGTGGCTCAGATGAGTGATTCATCCATAGATGGACGTTCACAACGATCCTAGTGAGCAAACGTGGAACGACTGCTTGCGCCCTAAAAACTACCTAGTCTGCAAGTTGACATCTTATAGGTTTTTTTTTGACGTTTTATAGGTTTTTTACATGATACTCGTGCCGGTTTGTATCAATATCAAGCCACATATGTACTAACATTGTATTCATTTAAAATAAATGCTCTGAGCCTCTTTGAGTTTCTGATTAATCTTCAATGTATTAAAAATACATTTTTGGAAGGTCAACAGCTCAAAAAAATTTCAAACTTCGATTCCCGAGCGAGATTGATCAGTGTAGAGTATAATTTATGGACATTCTTCAGATTGTAGATTTCTTGCTTGTCAAACTGTGCAATCTTTGTCCACAAGCGTTCGTTACCCCCAATAGCACGAAATATTCGTTATATATTTATATAATATTTAATATTTTTATGTTACCTAAACATTTGTTTTCTTAAACAAATATTTAATAAATATTAGTATCTAATATAATATTTTTATCAAATATTTATTCAATCTCTTATGAATATTTTAAATTCAATATTTCTTTTATAATATTTATTAAATATTTACCTTTCAATCAATGGAAAATATTAAATCTCCAATATTTAGAAATTATCATTAAATGTTTTCGGCTACGGCGCATGTGCGTGCAACCTCGAGCAATCAATAGGATAATAGCAAGCAGGCCTGAGGCGACCTGTTTGCCGGCAAGCCATTTTACCTGTGACTTTCACTATGATAGCGTGCTTTCTGTGTACCTCCAAGTGGTTCATTATTTGAGTGTTTTTTTTTTAAAAGGGAAAAGGGTAAGTTAAAAGTTAGACAAAGGATCAAGTTCTGCCGAAGGACATTTTTCATTAAGATATCTAAAATAACACATCAAATTTTCTTACAAATTAACCAAATCTCGAACTATCACAGACAGAACATGTGGGGTCCTTTTAGTTGCATTATACAGCTGCTTTTCAGTGACCCAGTTGAGCTACTCGGAGTAACTCACTATGCACAGCACCAATACTGTTCCACTGCATTTTATATTCCCATAAATACACTGGAAAGCAGCTTATGTATTCAATAATATTTCATGATTAGTTTTTTTCAGAGGAGTTGACTTTCAAGATGCAGAAGAGGCTTAGAATGTTTTTTAAAAATATTTTTCTAGCAAATTAAACCATTATATCTAGAATGAATTTTCTTTATAAACCCAATTTTATATAAGCACTCCTACAGGTTTTACTAAAATAACAAAAAAAAATTTCTATATACACTGAAAATATGTATCAGATTAATGCTTCTAAATCCATCCATATTTACGAAAAATATTAGATATTCCATCAAAATATAAAATTGATATTTAAAAATCTTATATGCTCTAAATATTTGGAAAAAATATCGCAAAAATGAATTATATATACCATAAATATCTATAATCAATATTTTATAAATATATAAAAAACATATTTATTAAATATTAAAAAATCTGTCGCTACAAATATTTAACAAACATTTTTTAAAAATGTTTAATAAATATTTAATGCTATCGCGGTAGACTATATTTTCATCCTTAGTCAAATTCAAATTCAAATACACTTATTAGCCAAAAAATATTTTTTTTGACAAAAAGGACGGACTCTCGATCACAAATTACCGTTAACACCCAGCCTCACATAAGTAGGGTAGGTGTGGAAATGCCCAGTTTTACACTAATTTTACACAAACTATATTTCATCGCATATGCATTATATCATACGTATTCAGGAATTTCGAAATTTAAGTTACTGTAAGCATGAACCACTGATATCACAGATTTTTTTTTATTTACTCACTTGAAATGTAATCATTCTGACGGGAGGGGAGTACCGGAGATGTGCTTACATCCTTCATGGAAGAAAGGGCCATTACATACGAAACAGAAGATATACACTTATATGAAGTCCTGCCACTGGCGAGGCAATATCCGGTGCACTGTCCAGTGACACTATGGAAACCACACAATGGAGGCTGCGGCACGGCCATTTCTGCAATTATGGACACTTTCCTACCAAATTGCGAATCCTGCACGACTAATAGCTGGTGTAGGGAAGACTGTACAGCCGGAGCAATACACAGGGCTTCGTCACATATAAATGTGTTGACGTAGATACTTCATCTTAATCCGCTATACCAGACTCGGTCGCTAAATAATATGTTCTATGTTAAGACCGCAAGGAGCATCTTTGCTGCTCGAGAACTAGGTTTGATCCAACACTTGGCAAGCATTTTCTACTTGAATGGTACAAAAGCTTTTTCTACAACTGTAGCAGTTCACATTTACCTGTATAACCACATGATATTAGATCATTATTTATTCAAATATTTTAATTTTAGATTGGACAGCAAATGGATACCTTAGACTTTTAGAGCATATCCATTAATGCAATTAGCACTGGGATTGTGTTATCATGTACTAATTAGTCTCACTCTTAATGCAGATACCGGCGTATAGCAACGCATATATCTTTTCTTTGCATAAGCTATATTTAAAGAGGCAAGCAATCTCGTACTCGGCTTTCGTCACCACCCTCGAGTTTTTGGCTCGTCATAATTTTGATGTTATAAAGGAAAAGTTTTTATGACGAAAAAGTTGAATGAATATATACATAAATCATCCTACACCGGAAATAGGTTGCTCCCCTAGAATAGGGAATACTCATTTGTTTTACTGTTTTACAACAGGATGGGTTGAATCGCTTAGCCTACATTCTTCAATGGAAGAAAACTACCTGCCGATCTATAAGAAGGTCTTATTTAGTTCAAAAGGGCAATGATAAAAATGGATGCAAATTTGACATTTTGGCGTGAAGTTGAGTACCGCGATCTCCAAGGTCAATTCAAAGTCAAACGGATATTTCCAAATGGAGCTCCTTTTTCACACCAGAACTGGGAAGAGAAGGAAGAAGTTCGAATATGATCTTATCTATGACCATCACGACCTTAAAGGCCATTTCAAGGTCAAATCAAGACATTGAAAACGATTTGCTCGAGAAAAAACGCTTAACAGCACAGACGTGAACTTTGTTAGGGTCACCCAAGGATCCTTCACCATGGCATTGACCATCACGTACAAGGTCTTGTGGAAATCATATCGAGGGGTTAATAACATTGGCACGTTCGAATGTAACATTTTCTGGTTTTCTCAATTCCAGAATAAAAATGAAGATGTTGACCTGACCTTGAGGGTAATGGTCAAGCTTATGATTAAGGTCACCTTTGGGTGGCACCATAAACTTCAAAACTGCGCTGTCGAACATTTTTGCTACAGCAAATTGTTTTTACTTGAGCTTGAAACAGCCTTGCAGATTATAGTCAAGGTCACGTTTGAACGTAGAATCTACTTCTTTTTCTAATTCCAAAGTGAAAAGGGGGGTCATTTTAAGAATATTCGCTTGACTTTTAAATAACCCTGAATGCCGTAGTTAAGACCATGCGTAAGGATGCCGTCATTTTGCCCTCTCGACACCCTAAAGCTTTTATTTGAAAATGTTTTGCTAGGGTGTGTAAACGTAAAGTTCAACGTTATTTTGTCATTCAGGTAGGTTCTCATAGCATGCATCCAACTAGACCCTTTACAAAGACCTAGACATGCCTTACCTACCACGGCAAACTACATAGTCAAGCGGAATCGCACACCAACACTTTGTTGTGTTAGTCAGTCGGGCAATATCGTGCAATTTCACGTTCAACGAAAATTACAATTTACACAACAACCAAACTCTCAAACAAATTCAAAATCCCCGAATTGTTGTTAACAATGCTCATCTCCAACCGATGCATCTCGTCCTGTTCACTTCCAAAACTACATCGTTTCTTCCTGCTTATCTTTCTCCCTGACTTTGTGAGGTATCTCATAAACAACGACTAATAGAGAAGATATGCATTCAGAAAGTTTTCTTCGATATACTTACAAATCTCATAGTTCGGAATATTCTACTTTACTTCCGCTCGACAGCTCAACTTTCACTAGTAATATAAAATTAAATCAAAATATTCATTCGTTCCAACGACACGGCCTCACGATGTTAACGCTAGGTAACCAGAGCTACGCGACCGGGCGTCAGCAATTGTAGTGGTGTGTTAGTCAGTCGGGCAATATCGTGCAATTTCACGTTCAACGAAAATTACAATTTACACAACAACCAAACTCTCAAACAAATTCAAAATCCCCGAATTGTTGTTAACAATGCTCATCTCCAACCGATGCATCTCGTCCTGTTCACTTCCAAAACTACATCGTTTCTTCCTGCTTATCTTTCTCCCTGACTTTGTGAGGTATCTCATAAACAACGACTAATAGAGAAGATATGCATTCAGAAAGTTTTCTTCGATATACTTACAAATCTCATAGTTCGGAATATTCTACTTTACTTCCGCTCGACAGCTCAACTTTCACTAGTAATATAAAATTAAATCAAAATATTCATTCGTTCCAACGACACGGCCTCACGATGTTAACGCTAGGTAACCAGAGCTACGCGACCGGGCGTCAGCAATTGTAGGCTTGGCCGAGGTTCATGAATAATCGAGACCCGTCTTGATGTACCTGCTGCCATCAAGACTACTTAAGAGTTCACGACTCTGCCTGGAAAACGCTGGAACGTTTCTCGTCTCGGCGATTGGGGAATAAATACCCGACCAGATGGCGGAAGAGTTAGATACATTCGAATCAGTGGGCAGCGAACGCGGAAATAAGATGAAATAATATATAGTACAGACGACATAGATATAATTTAGTTGTAAAAGTTATAAATCAGTGTAGCAGTAGTTAATTTGATTTTGAACAGTAGAGCGGTGTTTTCTTTACACTATGTTCTCGGCGACCTGAGCTGTGACAATGGCTTCATTCCAAAACTGGATTCGTGCTGACATCAATATGGCAATAAAGATAAGATCAGATGCGACTAGGAGGACACGGTAGATTGGACTATTTTCGTTGTGACGTCAGCGGAAACATTATGCATCCTACATAAGATCGGCATACACCGCGGTTATCATCTGCTTTACTGTAATGGACGAGTGGCAGAGCTCGTTTTGTCGCAGGAACTTCAGAAGCAAAACACGAACTCCCGTAAAGAGTCGTGTGAGATGAACGTAAACAAAGCCGTATATTTGGGACGTGATGTCATGCCTTAATGCGACGGCCTTTCTTTTCATACTACCGCCAACGTTGATATGGCAGTCACAGGAAAATGCTTTGCTGAAACAAACGTGTGTGTGTATGCAGCTGTTTTTTCGCAAATGGATATCAGTTTAAGTAGGCTTGTTACGGTGATAATTGGATGGAAGTGAAACCAAGTATATTTCGTTCTAGAGCACGAAGAAGAGCAAGGAAGTACAGTCTGCGAAAGTCAAAAGTTCTCCAAAACTATGCCTTAGGGGTCTTCAGGGAGAGGTTTGAACTTCAAAGTTAAACAATGCAACCTCAAAAATAATATTCCTCAACCTACTTTCTAAGCATTGTACACATCTACATCTAGATCAGGAAAAACCATATCACCTATTTTCGTCGGCCTGACGGTCTGTCGGTCTGTAAATACTAGCAGGCTTTGGATTTACAAAAACACTATACAGTTCTTCAGGTCTTACTTGAACGGAAACAATTTGTATCATACAATGGCTTCAAATCCCAAGCATACTCAACTATATCTGGTGTGCCCCAGGGGTCTAACTTGGGGCCTTTATTGTTTTTACTGTTTATTAATGACCTCTGCGAGAATTTGAGCTGTGAATATTTGTGTTTTGCAGATGATATGAAAATCTATGCATCAATTAACAACACAGAGGATTGTTTAAGCTTGCAGATGCAGTTGAGTTATGTTAGGGTCTGGTGTAAACGCAATAAATTACATCTTAATACAGGCACGTGTAGGATTATAAGCTACACTTGAAAACATACTACTTATTTATATAATTATAACTTCGTTAAGGACTTGGGAGTAATTTATGATGTAAAACTAACGTTAAATGCTCACATTTCTCTGAAAGTATCTGAAGCATTGAAGTCCTACGGATTCCTTGACAGGAACTTTAGGCAATTCTACATATATAATAAAAGCTCTAAAGGTCTTATAACATACTTCACTTACGTACGCACTAAACTTGAGTACGTAAGTATTGTATGGAACCCACATAACATATGCTACGCGAATGACATTGAAGACGTTCAAAGGAAGTTTTTGAAATGTTTGTATTTTAAATCCGAGGGGTTTCACGCGCAGCAAGGTATCAGTAACTTGGAATTATGTGACAAAGCACTAGAGTTGAGAAGGAATATATCAGCTGCAATACTTCTTTTTAAATTATTAAACTCCGATATTGATTTCTTGAACTTTTGTCACAAATACATTTTAATGTACATGCGCTTACGTCGCGTAATTACATCATGTTCGAACCTGTAAAAGCCAGACACCAAACTGTTAGTTAGATCTCCAATCTACGTTATGCGTAAGTTCCTAAATGCAATTAGCTGTCATTGTGACGTATTTGTATGTTCTGTTAGAGAACTCATTGAAATGGTGTATATGTACGTACGCTAAACCTATTGTTTTTACCACTGTGCTTGATTTCTTTTAATATTTGTTATTTTCATTTAATTGTCCTATAACAGTTGGTGCACACGGACGTATTTTGACGGTGCGGCAACGCAACGCTATATCATTGAGTGGACACGAGCGACGGAAAACAGTGCGTTGAAAATGACGGACGTTGATATAGACACTGAAATATTGATTACAGAGGTGAGGGGACATCATCTAATTCGTCAAACGATTTGGAACTCATTCTAGAATAATTGAAAAACTTCTCCTCGTCGTTTCTCAGATCCAAAAAATCACTAACAAATGCTTCTTTTAATGCACGGGCACTCACATAAGGGTGTACAAAGTATATTATCTTTTTTTACAAATATGGTACATTCATGCAAACAAAACACAATGTTCATGATCAAAATCCATCTTTCTACTTGCGTCGTGTCGAGAGAACTGCATGGGTTATTGTAGGCTCGTGTGAACTTGTCTCAAAAACACTGACTTCGTCGACGTAACGTCGACGTTGCGCTACCGCAATAAAGCTATTGTTATTATTGACAGTCCTATGATTATGAGATTTTTGTAGTAGCCGCAGTATACCGGTATTAAGGCTCAGCCTTTATGGCCGCTTCAGAAGAAAATAACGCGGAGTAGGGTATGAGGTGGATGCCCTCCAAGATAATGAGGATTCATACTGATGAATAGGATCCCTTCACCTTCCACCTCTGTGACCATGTCCAACCGCTTCACCCTTGTTAACAATCATGAAGCAATGGAAAGCAAGCAAGCAGTTATGGTCGCATTGTATACATCATGTATAATACACGCGCCTCGATATACGTATACAATAGCAAATCATAGTTCAACTACTTGCACACAGTGCCGGCGAAAGTTTCTTTCCCTTTTCGATTTCCACGTGTACGCCCAAATACACATTTCTGTCGAATCTGCTTAGGATCAAATCCGGATCGATCTTAATGATTTAGGAGGAGCTGGAAGTTCAAAAACGCTACAAATTCTGCAACATTGCATTATTGGTTTGACTGTGAAAGCAGTCTATAAATAATGAGAAAGGGCATAGAATGATATATAATATTATACAAAGATACAGTTTTAAATGAATTAGGAACATTTCTTAAGTAAAATATAGCAACTTGTGTGATTTCAATAGAGATATAACGGTATTGGACAACTTTTCTTTGCATTCTACGGAATATATCTTTCCATTTCCAAACAAAATGAACCCTAGTTCATCGGTTTCTTTGTTCTTGTGGCGTCCAACTATATTTTTTCAAAGTTGCCGGTTCACTCTTCACCAACTTTCTGAGGTTTGCGAATAAACCTAACCTCACTTATGCTATTCTATACATTGTCTTCATCATTGTACAAATTCTATTCATTGTATACGTAATGTATACATTGTATACGCAATGTATACATCGAGACGTACACAACTAATGTATACGCGTAAATGCCCATCACTGCAAACAAGCCGATATGGTCTACTGAAGAACCCATTAAGTTGTGCGCACGTAAGGAGGCAGCACACCCTCTCCCGCATTTTTTCTGATACCACTTCAGATCATCATATATTAACGTATAAACAACAATAATTGTTACATACAATGTAAAATTCCACCGGTAGCTGGTGACAGAATTATGTTCACTCACAAATTGGCTAAGATCACTTTTACAGAATTTGCCATTATACAGAGTGTTTAGTGTGTAATCGATTGATAGCTCCGATCTTTTAAGGGATATATAAAAAAGTTACAAACTAACGCTGCTTACTTAGAAAAAATTCATAAATTAATATCTACCTGTTAACAAAACTTGCATTGCTTCAAGTGTTCCATAACATGTACATTTTGATATATTCTGAAAGCCTCTTCAAAAGAAGAAGTTTGAATTAGCATGCATTGCTTGGGTCACTACTTCTCGTGCTACGGGAGGGAAAAAATACTCAACTTTGATATTTTTCAGATAGAGTATTGGATTTTACAAAATGAGTTTAATATTCCAAAGATTCTGGCCATTTAGACATTTTTCCAGCCCTTATGGTACACGCTGTATGTCTTTACGGTTTTCGGTTATCTTTTTCATAAAGTTTTATTTCGGCGACTGAATTACTAAATTGATACGTTGCTTGCAGTTTTTCAGACAGCATCCTCGTATAGCTCCCGTACCTAACGGAGATGTCTAGAGATGCTTCTCCATTTTTGAGACTCTTGTCTGGCAATCCACTTCTCCATTTTCCTCCTGACTCTTTGCGTGGGTACCCCTAGGGCTGGCTCAGGACCAACAACCCCGCTGATCCTGCTTTCGTGAGAGTGTCCACCATATCATTACCCTTTATCCTACCGTGCCCCGATATCCACACTAACGATACCGGATGCCTCGCTGCTAAACTACCCATAGCCTTTCTGTATTGCAATACAAGTCTCGAAGTAATCTTGCAGTGCCTTCGCTTGAAGGCTTAGCCGAGCTCTAAAGATAACCGAGACCTATCTGGGAGGACCTGCTGCCATCTAGGCTCTACCTGGTAAACGCTGGAATATTTCCCGACTCGTCGATGGGGTAATAAATACCCGAACAGGTGGCGGAAGTGTCAGCCACCGTCGGGTCTACATACGTCGAACCGTACGTGCACACGGAATTGAGATGGGATAATAGTCCAGCCGACATAGTTATTTTGTTATAAATTAGTTGCAAGAACACTTTTAACAGTAAAACCTTGTTTTCGTTACATTAGAAATCAAATTAGATGCATACCACATGATTTGAGGAATGAGGGATTTTGAGTGGGTGGGAAGTAACTTCGATGAAGGCTTGTACTAATCCATTTCATTATATATCCTCTATATAATAATGGAACACCGACGACATGTTTGTTAAAGCCTAAGTTGTAGCTGGAAAAAAACATACTACTGCTTCACATTGATAGACTGAACTTCTGGTGCACCTATGTTATTGAATCTTCCACTTTTGTTAAATAGAAAATCTCAATTACAGTATTGTAGCAAAGCCAGGGGCAGCAGGCTGGTATTCGCTTGCTTTGTATCCTGAATTGTTAAAATAGCAATTAGAATTAATAACACGTTTCACGGGAAACGAATTCCGAGCGGTAATTTGTAATTTCGAGTCATTAGGTGATAGCAATTAGAAGGTAAGCTTGCCGAAACGCGATATTATCAGGTTACGTTGTGCTAGATGGATGTGCCCTATTTTTCTCTACTATTTTACATGTTTGCCTCTACATGAAGCCAATGTAGAGCTAGAGTTATTTTTATAGACTTCCATGTACGTATTTATCAGATGTTGGAAGGTAAAAGCTACTGTTAATCCAGCCTTCAGTCACTATATAAGAATATGGACTGAGTAGTTGTACAAAACTGAGGCATACGAGTATACTCTAGCATCATCTAGATGACTTTTAAGATCTAGGAGTTGATGCATAGAGTAGCTCGAAAATCTTAAGAGCTCTAGACTTGACAACGATTAGTCGATTGTCATTAACGCAATTAGTGGAGCCCTTGCCTTTATGTCGTAGCTTTGAATAGCGTATTTCACCTGAACACAGCCAACCTCATTCAGAAAATCGACATCACGTTCAGTTCACGCTCTAACAGCAATCACCCGTTCTTTCTCAGGTGCACTTCAATCTGAGAAA